TCCTATTTTTCATTAATTTTGATGCACAGAAATTCAGTAAAAATAAATTTATTCAGAGAAAATAAAAATAATATTTGACATTTATTGTTGCTGTTAAGTGTCACTGAGTGAACTACAAGTCATAATGTAGAACAATAGATCTGAGTCTTGCGCTATCCTGCACCACCACTTCTATAAAATATCCACTATTAAATAGCAATTCAAGTGTAAAATTCAACTCTATTTTACTTATTTAATAAGCTATATAGTTTTAATGTATAAGTTATCCTATTGAAATATAAAAATTAAAACCCTAAAACCCAACTACTCAATTCCAACTCATGGCAATCCTACCTGATTGCATATACTTGCCCCATAGGGATTCCAAAATTGCAAATCTTTAGAGAAGCTGTCTGTCATATATATTTTCCATATACTGGCTGTTCAATTTGAACAGCTTACCTTTTGGTTAGTAGTGGAGAACTAGCCACTACACCACCAAAGTTCTAGAAGAAACTGTTGTTGTTATTGTTAGGTGCCATCAAGAATGACTCATAGTGACCCTATGAACAATATCCTATCCTGTACCATGGCTCATCATCTCTGACATACTTGAGCCCATTTTTGCAGTCACTATGTCAATCCACCTCTTGGAGGGTCTTCCTCTCTTTCACTGACCCTACACCTTTCTAAGCATAGGTAACTTCAATTCTTTTCATTCATCATTATTTACTTTCATATAACTTCAATATAGTGCACACATATTTGATACTTTCAGAGCCATATCCTGGGTATAAATTGCCTGCCTTAGATGGGTTACTTTTTGTTGGGAGCCCTGGTGGCATAGGCTATGAAAAATTGCACTATTAACACCAAAGCAGTTCAAATCAACGAACAACTCCATGGGAGAAAGATGGGCAATTTCCTCTCATGCAATTTACAGCCTCCTGAAAATCCACTGGAGGGTCACCTATGACACTCAGCTATGATTCCAACTCAACTGCAATGACTTTGAGGTTTGTTTTCTCAGTTCAATCCATGGTAGTATTTAAAGGAGGGTAATTTTATAAAAGCTTCTCTCTAGACTTACACTATTTCTTTTTGTTTGTTTCTCTCTACTTTGAAGATGGAGACTTCATCAATCCAAGAGCTGTAGAAAATACACTCTTTTTAAAAAATTTTTTATTATTATTTTTGTGTGCGTGTACCGTCAAATCAGATCTGACTGGCAGAAGAAGAGATTTGAACCATGCGCCTCTGGGATTGTAGTTGCAGCTCCTTGCCACTAGGCCACTAGAGCTCCCCAATATATTCTTTTTTTAACAATTTCAGGATGCTTGGAAGCAGCTCTTTCCTCAGCAGAGCCTCTGAGGAGAAGCCACTTGTAGATGATTCCTGAAGACTTGTAAGACCCTAAGCAAGACGACTAATTAAGGTCTTTTCTTTGACCCCTGACTCATGGAAATTGAGATAATAAATGAATCTTGTTTTAAGTTCATTCATTTGTGAGGATTTGCTACATGACGCAGATAACTTATACAGATAAGGACCCCAACAAGGTCAGGCATGCCTCCACTCTGCTCGCATGGGACTTCTCTATGCAGTCATTTAGAATTGACTCACAATGAATATAATTCTTTGCTTGACTTTTAGATGGATTTTAGCTGAAAGCAGGGAGTACCAGAGGAACGTCTATCTGTGTTTCATTGATTATGCAAAGGCATTTGACTGTGTAGATTACAACGGACTCTGAGAAGAATGGAAATCCCAGAACATTTGATCATGTTAATGCAAAACCTATACTTGGACCAGGAGGTAGTCGTCAGAACAGAGCAAAGAAAGACTGCATGTTTCCAAATGGGGAAGAGTGTGTGTTAAGGATGTGTCCTATCTCCATATGTTGTCAGTGTATATGGAGAACAGTTTATCTGGGAGTCTGGACTCTATGAGAAGTGTGGCATCAGGATTGGAGGTAGACTCATCAACAATCTGCATTATGCAGATGACACAATCCTGCTTGCTGAAACTGAGGACCTGAAGTGTTTTCTGCAGAAGGTTAAGGACTGCAGCTTTCAATATGGATTGAGGCTCAATATCAAGAAGACAAAGATTCTCACTACTGGGCCCATTGGCATTATCATGATGGAGGGTGAAGAGATTGAGATTGTACACAGCTTTAGTTTGCTTGGCTTCACAATCAACACTCTTGGCATCATCAGCCAGGAAATTAAAAGATGTATTGCAATAGGAAAGTCTGCTGTTAGGGACCTCTCCAAACTACTGAAGAGCAATGGTGTCATTCTGGAGACTAAGGTGTACCTGATACAGGACATGGTCTTTGCAATCATTAGCTATGTGTCAGAGAGCTGGACAATGACTAAGGAGGATAGAAGGAGAATTGATGCCTTTGAGCAGTAATATTGGAGAAGAGTATTGAATTTACCATGGTCTGCTAAGAAAATGAGCAGGTTCATCCTAAAGAGGGTTAAATCAGGTTGCCCCTTGAAGGCAAGGATTCTGAAATTTCATCTAACATACTTTGGACATGTTGCAAGAAGGGACCAGTCTTTGGAGAAGGACATGATGCTTGGAAGGGTGGAAGGACAGCACAGGAGAGGAAGACCCTGTACGATGTGGATTGATTGACTGGGGTAAAGGGAGTGGGTGTGTCTGAGACAATGAGATTGGCACATAATAGAGCATGGTTTAGGGCTGTTGTACATAGGGTCACTATGAGTTGCAAGTGACTCGACAGCACATAACAATACCACCTAAGAAACTTAAAGACTGAGATTATCATCAGCATTATCTACAACTGACATATAGGAGGTATTCAGTAAATATGTGTTGATGGACATTAACCATTACACATGACAAATTAAGATTTTTACCTTTTTAATTTATAGAGAGCCCTTATAAAAAGCTATCTGTAAAATAGATATCTGGTGGATTTTAACATAAATGTAGAATAGAAATACGTAATACTCTTAATGAAATATGTTTATTCATGGAGAGAACTTGGCTACTTTATCCATCAGCTTAATTCAACTCATTGCTGTTGCATCAGAACCAACTCATAGCAGATCCTCCAGCAGGTTTTCAGAGGCTGTAAATCACACAGGAAGATATTGCTCATCTTTCTCTCTTGGAGCAGCTGGTAGATTTGAACTGTCTGCCTTTAGATTGACAGTAAAATTTCTTTCTTACTACTAGATCAGAATGGAGTAGAAAAGAAAACAGAGTATATTTTTAAAATACACAACTATGTATGTATATATATATATAACTTTTTGCATTTCTGCCATCAATTTTATATATAAAAAGTTGGAAACAAAGAAGGATTGAAAACTGGAAAATATGAACTCAGAGACAGAAATGAGGCTGGGGTGTGAATGATAGAATTTTGTATGATCAATGATTTATTCATTACAAATGCTTTTTTAAAAACCCCAAACATAAGTGGTTATTAAACACATAGACTTCATTTTATGCAATAAAAAGAAATCTTATTGGCTATATTTATGAAAAAAGTCGATGGAGACGTGCAATATCAGCATTCAAAACAAGAACAGGGTTTGACTGTGGAATGGATTAGCAATTACTCATATGTAAGTTCAAACTGAAGTTGCTGTCAAGTGTTCTAAAGTGCTAAAGAACAATAATGTCAGCCTTAAGACTAATGTATGCTTGGCCAAAGCTATAGGGTAGTGCTTTTTTTTAGTTATTTCTTACATATGAAAGATGGACAGTGAATAGGGTGACAAAAGAATAACGGATGCCTTTGAATTGTATTATTGGAGAGGAGCATTGAATATCCAATGAAATTCCAAAAGAACAAACAGGTCTGCTTTGGAGGTAGTGCAACCAGGATGCTCCTTAGAGGCATGACTGATGAAACTTGGTCTTATACACATTTCGCAAATTTCCAAGTGGGACCAGTCCTTGGAAAAAGACATCAT